ATGCGGTGGAGGGGCGGCAGGGATTAGGAAGAGTAAAAGACAAGAAAGGACACGGGTGTGGATGAGGTTCAGGAAGCAGTAGGTAGGCAGTTTGAGCCTGAAGTACACAGCCCCCTTAATCCACAACCTAACTTTTAGGCATGTTGCAGCTTGCAGTGGCTAATTCAAAGCAGCCACCACACTTGGCACCCAGTGGGGCCTCTGTGGTTGGAGCTGTTGTTCGTGCAGACGGGGAAACACAGGCTAAACTGTGAGCACTCACTGACTCCAGTCACTCGGCTTTGCTTTCCTAAATAACCTGCTTACGTTCCAGGGGAATCCCAGAGTGCAGATTTATGAGAACCAAGTCCCTGACAAACCTCTGTGCATGTACAAATACATTACTGCCGGGAGGAAAGGAGATCATTCAATTAAAATATATCTTTGATCTTTAGACCCTAACCCGAAAGCTGATCCTATGGCATTAAAATATATACATTTTGAATTAATCTTTAAAATGAGTCTTCGCTTATAACATTCATAGTTGGGCAGTATTTGTGCAATTCCTTTAGGGTTTTAGAGTAGAATAATCATAGACATAGAGATATACTCACAGTTTTCACACAGTGATTAAGCCACACTACGGTGTTTTCTTCTGCCTTTGGTCACGGTGTGTTTTTCAACCCAATAGGCACATTACATTGTCTCCCCTCAGAGTGAAACACAGTTACCTCACTGGTTATGATTGCTGCCATGACATCACTGTTTGAATAACAAAGGTGCTGCTTGACTTATTCTAACACAGCTCAAGCAAATCACTGGTTAGTACATTGTCTTCCCAGGTGACGGGGTAAACAAGATATTTACCTATGCTATTTTAAAGGTTAATATCTTCTCTCATATTACAAGACAGGTCTGCTCTATTGCAGTGCATTACTTGGCTTCAGGTGTGAATTGCATTTTTCTACCCTCCCATGGCACACGCATACACACACTCAGACACCAGCTTTTAGTGCCGAGAATAGCGGAGGGGGGGGGTTACAAAGCAATATCCTGGCAGATACTCACTGGCTCTCTCACAGAGGGAATTTGGCAGCTCTCTTAGAATTGATAGCTATTTAGCTCACAGATAATCATCTGTTTTAATGCATTAATTTAGTATTAACAGCACTGCCAAATTTAATGGGGGAAATTAGGGTATGATCGTAATGGTATGTGGCTGTGTGTGAGAGTCTGAATGTCCATGTGTACTTGTTTGTGTGTGTACATTTCTGATGTCCATTTTGTCTATATTATTGTACGTGTTTGTTGCGTGTATTATACGGCTCCATTGGGAGCCATTCTTTGGAATTACCGGCTCTCTGTCTCCCTTCCACCCTTCCAGTAATATCTCTATCTTCTGTTAGTTGGACTCTCTCAGCAACCACACTGTTTTGTGTTAAAGGTGCACTTTTACTTTGCATTTAAGTGGATGGAAATGCAGATGTATGCAGTGCTCTGGGTGGGTGGTGAAACTGATACAGGCGTGTATTGCCCACTCAGAGGGCAAGGTGCACTGTGGAGTTATATGAGAGAGGATGGGGTGGTGCCCACACCGCCCCTGTCCCTCTTTACCTGAAAAAGCAGAGAGCACTGCTTCAGCCTCCACAGAAAAAGATAAGGTGCTCCATAGAAGAGAGAGGCTTGAAAAACCACGGTTACATTTTTAAACTATGAAAATCACTACAATATAAAACAAAGCTTAAGACTAGGTTTTTCAGTGGAAAACAATGAAGGTAGATGGAATTTAGAATATTCTGTCAAATGTATAAAAAAACAAAGGTATGGATAATTTATCGTTATCTAACCACCCTTAGTTTTTGACTGCATTGGACCGTAAAGGACTTCTTCTAGTATTTGTACCTACAATCAATGTCTCTTTGTGAACTTATCTGTTAAATCAGACCACAGTCATATAGTACATTCACATGCACAAAGTATGTCTACCATGCCCAATTGCTGTTGAGTACATCACTACATTCTAGGCGGTCACACATTTGTACATGCGCAGCTGAATCTCCTATATGACTGTTGTAAATTGCCAGACAGTTCAGCAGTATATAATCTGACCCAGCCAGCTCCCCTTATTATGCTCCACAGCTCCCCTCCTGTTGGGGCCTCGATAGGACGCTAAGAAACCCCAGAGCCGAGCCGACCAATTCCTCCCAACTCAACATGACTTTTTCATTAAGCCGCCAAATTCCTGCACTCCAGTTGGAGGTGATTTATCATCTAGGGGCTTCATCGCAGGTTCATAGGAAACAGACATAGGCCCTGTCTCATGCATTATTATGTTTCACATTCAAAATGTGTATATATGCGAATATGTGTGTGAACCAGAGAGGGCGATGGACTGTGAGTGTACCATGTCTCCACTGTGTTTGCCCTGTTAGCTATAATCATATAGATAATTCATGGAGAATCCAGTGAGAACGAATGTTAGATAAAGTTAGTAAATGTGATGATCAGAGGGGTTTTGGACTGGTCCCAACTAACTTCTCCTCGGCAATACAGTAACGTTTTGCCTCTGTCCTCCCTGTGGTACTGAATGAGCAGGGGCCACCTAACTGATCACACGTTGTTTGATCTCTTACCGCCTCCACTGACTCTGAAATGCCCTAGACTGCATTGGGTCATGGCCAGTGCATAGATGGTGAAAGTGGTGGTTTACAGGTGTAACCGTTTGACATTGTAGACTGAGCTACAAGCGCTGGGGCAGGAAACCTTTGGCTCTGTTGAGGCCATCTTCCTGGCCAGTCAGGTTTATAGTGAATTATGGCCTATTCAGGGGCAGGCGGTCTAAGGTTCACTCCTATATAAACCCTGTGCGTTTTATGGGAAACTATAAAACTCCCAGGATTCTTTTTCTACCTCCTGGGACTAGCTTTGAAGTTTCGGTCAGGTGCTGTCATTTTTTTTACTTGTCTGCTTGTAGATTTTTGGAGCCATGAGTCATACTCACTCTCTTTTTTTATAAATTCAAGCCATCTGCTGTGAGTAAAAGCAGTTTGCATGATGGATTTGCTGTTATCTATAACTGAATCTGTCTCTCAGGTTTCTCTCTACCTTAATTCTGATGCAATATTTGTGCACAGAGAAAGGAGGAGAGTTACCACAATATCCAGCAACACCTATTCATGACATCATGGATGGCTTAAAACGAGGCGAGAAAGGAGAGCACACAGAGACACAGAGCCTTTTACAATCACCTAATAACTCTATTACACTGAGCTCTGGGGCTCACAAAAAGGAGAGAGAAAAAAAACTCCTATTCTTTTTCCTGGAAGCGGTGTCTTAATGCACATTTTAGGTGTAGAAGTGAGAAATATGAAACCAAAGAGAATGAAACACAATAGCTCAGAAAACCCCATAGCAATATTGCAATATTGCCAGAAAATTAAACATTAGGAGAAAGGGACAAGAGCATTTTAGGGAAGCATAATAATGTTATGACTTTTTTTCACCAGCCTGTCAACACCTGATTTAGATATAATGTGGTTAAATGTCTAATGTTTCCATTGCTTTTACAAATCCCTACCAGCCAAGGCCATCCTGTGCAGGGGAGGATAGTTCAGTGTATTCTTGATGAAGCGTTTATTTCTCTGAACCTTTATTTACAGTTAGTACATGATGTGTAAGGTACATGAGGATAATATACTTATAGGTTTATATTAATTGGTAATTAAACCTGATTTAAAATATTTCTTACATTTAAAAATATATAAATATTTATTAAACGTGTTATTAATCACAGTTTATGATTTGACCTGGTTATTTATTTTCACCATTAAATGAACTTGATAGTGTTTCATTAACACATGTGTTTTGAAAGCTCTTAAAGCATCTCTGTGCATTACAAATATTCAAGCGAAAATACATATCATATTTCAGTAGATTACAATATATTTTGTTTTCACTCAGCATGCATCGCAGGAGACATGGGCGCCAAGGAGATTAAAGGGAAAAGAGGACAACTTTTGGTGATTTGCATTGATTGCAGCAACAGAAGTCCACAGCAAGATTCCAGAGTTTGATATTAGGAGCAGCACATGACAGGCATGTCACAAGTGGCCATACCGAGTCTGGGGCTTTCATTGCAAACATGCTGAAACAATCAGTGTGATCCTTCAGGATAGTGGTCAATAACTGTGATGCTCACACCAGGCCCAGCCATATTGTGTTGGGCTTGCATCATTGATTGAGCCATGCAGGAGGTAATTAGACTGGAGCTCTGTGGTGTGACAAGAGCTTGTGGCGGTATGGTGTCACTACAGGGTGTTAGGCATGTTGTGACAGTGCGGAGGGTGGGCTGAAAGCTGGACTCGCCCTGCTGTTGAGTCTTGAAGGACGAGCTGGGGTTGACAGGTCAATACTAGTGCTGATTTCCCGTCCTCTGAAGGTTGTCCTCCTGTTGTGGAATGTTCCCGTTTCTCTCAGAGTACTAAATCCCCCTCCTGCCTCACCACCGGCTGACTTTGCCTCTCTTTCTCTATGAGAGAGCGAGGATTTAACTCACCATGATCAATATTTAGTATCCCATGCGTGAAACAAGCAGATGTTTGGAGTTTCCTTTTCAGAGACGGGAGGCTTCTGTTGAGTGAAGGGGATCAATGCTCCCTTCCGTCTGTGAGGCTGTAGACCCACGGCTTCTGAAGGGTGGCTGATGCGATTCCTGCCCGCCCTTGGGCCCCTGAGATTTGCGTGCCTCCCAGGCCTTTCCTGTCCTGTTAGCCCACTGATACAGACACTCACGCAGACAAAGTGCGCAGTCCAAACAGTTGTCCTGAAGTGGAAAAGGTCTGGATGTTAAACAACAGGGCTGTGATTGGGAATTGATTTGTTCATTTGCCAACTGTTTGAGTGAAAGTGAGTCGGTGGTGCCTAGCCAGCTATCTGCCATCTACAATAACCTCTTTCCCTCTCTCTCTTTCTCCTTGTTCCTATCTTTCTCTATCTCTCTCTTTCTCCATTCCCTCCTACAGCACCTGCAGCAGCACGAAAACGCGGTGGAGGGTGAAGCCTGCTACTACCATTGTGTGCTGTGTAGCTACTCGACCAAGGCCAAGCTCAACCTGATCCAGCATGTGCGCTCCATGAAGCACCAGCGCAGTGAGAGCCTCAGGAAGCTGCAGCGTTTGCAGAAGGGTCTGCCGGAGGAGGAGGAGGACCTCACTTCCATCTTCACCATACGCAAATGCTCTTCTTCGGATACAGGTCAGAAACTGGCCCTGTTGCCCTTTTCCTATCTGTATGTGTGTCTGTCTTTGTTTGACTCTCTTGATCTCTCTACCTATGCTGCTTGGTCTCTTGTATACACAACAACACAATACAACAATATCAATATCTGCTTCACTGACACACTTCATGTGGCTGAGTTGTGCATTCACAATTTGTCACTTTCTGTTTGTTTAAGATTGTATTGCATGGCAAAGGAGATAGTCACGAAAAGGGAATAAAGGGGGAAAGAAATGCAGCAAATGCCCCTGGGTCTGAATGCCAAACATGGGCACCTGCAATACCAAATGACCTATTTGGGTTTCCATTTTGTCACTATCTTCATTTTACATTTACCTCCCCATAGAAGAGTGGTGTGTCTTTTTAAGTCGAAATACAGAAGTATTAAACTGAAATGTACATTCTATATAGGAGGACAGTTCATTACACCACAAAGTTTGACTTTTACATTACAAACACATTTTGTAAAAACTAAATAGCGAAGAGAGGTTTTCACTCAAAGACAGAATAAAAAAAACAGTCCTCGGAGTTAAATTATTCAAACAAATATTTCAAATATATTTTTGATATTGAATATCATTTCAGTTCAATATCATTTACACGGAATATTCCTGCCTCCAGCATTAAAAGCATAGATCCTTGTTAATGGGAGCTGTCCTTTTCAGCCATAAAAGACATATTGAGACAGAGCACTAAGGCCAGAAAAGGAGGAGCCAAACAACAGCAGCAGCTGCAACAACAACAAGAACACCACAAAACAGACACAGCTACAACAACAGTAGCACGACTGAAACAAAGTGCCTTGACTGCTCATTTATTACGGACTGATTAGGAAGAGTGAGTTGTGGTCAATTAACACTCTTTTTTAGCAGAGATTTGGTTTTCCAATCACTTTAACTCCTGTGCCCTGACAAAGGGGCTCTATTGTGTGTCATTCCAAGAGGGAACCATTACTTCCCTCGCACACATACTCGCTGTCTGTGTTGTGCAGGGGGGGAAAGGCCAGCCTGTGAAGATGCTTTGTTCCAAGGAGGCAGGGATAATGAAGCCAGCGGCCGGGAAATTGCGCAAAAGGCAGTCACAGATCTGAAGCAAATCATTAGAGAACATATTTAGCTGAGCAATTAGGGACAATTAAGCTTTCTGCTCGCTGCACTCCAAATATGTTAATGACTACAGTACAGTGGACAGGCGAACATGCAAAGGCAAGAGGCCATTTAGGTTAAAAGGGTTGGGGGTTGGGAATTATTTTTTTGTGTTCAGACAGCAGGAGTTGTTGTGCTTTTTGCAAATAATTGTGTTTTTTTCTTATTTTAGCAGATGTTGGGTTTATCAATCTTTTTTCTCTTTAAACTTTTGATGAGTTAGATGCCAATGTTTGTGCCAGGGAAAGGGATCCAAACTTTTGGTTTAGTAATGGGCCCCTGCAGTGTGGCAGTTTGCGGTTAGTATCATTACACACAGACGCACAGACAGCAGTTACTCCCCTGCAGGGCTTCAGCAAATTACAATAATCCTCACTTACTTGAGCAGACCACTAGTATCTAAAAAAAATATAAAAGGTTTACCTCCATTTTTTTTCTTTTAAAAAAGAAATGAAGTATGTAAAAGAAAGGGAAAAGAAAAAGCATCTTGATCGAATTACCTCAATAACGATCATACCTTTTTGTCTGTAGTCATTATTCTAAAATTGCTGACTCCACACCTCTCAGTTCTACCATTTCACACCCCAGATGCCTTGTTCCAAGAGCCTCAGCTGCTCTGGTCCACCTCACACCCCCACCCCTCCACTATAGGGCTGAACCATTCCCTCCCAGTGTAATATTTAATTTCCTCTTCGCTAGCTCTTCCATGGCAGGCACAGGGCTCTTTTTTGTGGTTGAGGCATAGTTGCTAAAGTGGTGGAACGTTCCCCCGCTTGTTAAAACAAAGTTGCCCCTGGATTTCTGGGTCACCTAGACAGTAATTCCCTCGCCTGCTGCTGTTCTCTGATCCTGCAAGTGGTTCTCTGCTGGTGTAAGGTGCTGGGCTTTAGCCTGCCTGAGATTATTTGTTTCTGTAAAACACATATGGAGCCTTCCTTTTACCCAAAACACACATAACTATTATCAAACACGTGACAACATTTTACACAGAGATGCTATAAAATGGTGGCACAACATAATTCTGTAAACATTATCCCAGAATTCCTCCATTTTAGACATTAATGTCTTTCAGTCTATTGATACCTTTTTATGATAGCAACTGAATGAAATGAGCCTTGCTCATGCATCATCTGCTGTGTTTTATACTTCACAATGTTGAATATTAATGCTCCTTATGAGGATGCACAACACTGTAGGGATTCGGTGCCACATATCTTCTCTGGGCTGGATGTCCGAGGAGAGCAAGGGCAGCAGAAATGAGCTTCTTTCCAATTAGACTAACACAGGAATAAAAGGCTAGCATTGTTTTAATTCTTGCTCATACTGAAAATGTGCTGCTTAGGCATGTTGCTCTCTGGCCCCACCTCCATTTGTCTTCTTTAACCCTTTAGTTGTGGGGAAACAAAGGGGGCACAGAGGGACCACAGCCACGCACAGCTGCCCCGTGTGTGCAAAGATCACTGAATAAAGCTCAGCACTCACTTGATCCAAAGCACTGTCTTCACCAGTGCTAGCACACTGCCTTTAAAGATAGCACCTCATTACCAAGTAGCTTTTGACTAGAAAAATAGAAAAAAACGACATGTATGTGACAGAGAAGGTGAGAGGGAAATGTTAAAACTCCCATGAAACATTCACTTGTGAGGACAGCTGGTTTGACAGCATGAAGACACAATATATTTTAGGTTTAGTGGTTTCAGAGAACAGGTAAAACCTAGTGTCATGTTGATGTCAAGTGTAGCGGGTAATGGTGACTGCTGACAACGTAAAGTATCAGGTCTGTGTATGAGAGAGACTCATATATGGAGAATAAGAGATAAAGTAAGGAATAGATGGCCAAAAAAGTGTGGGGAAACAAGTTTTAGGAGCGTGCGTGTGAGCGCCAGTGTGACACTTGAGCATAATATGATGACCCTATTCCGTTTGACTGATGTTCACCAGGGCTTACTCAATGACACATTGAGGTTTCTCATTTCTTAACATTTAATCGACTAACGTTATTTTTTGAGCGTAGAACAGAATGAGATCATGCCTTTAAAAAGGGCAAAATTAAATTGCACTGAAGGGTGTATGCCCTTCTGCGAGAAATTTTTGCTTTGTTGTGTGAGATAGAGAGAGGGAGAGGGAGAGAGAAATGCAGGCGAGAACATTTTGTAAGGGTAAAATATTGGTATTTTTCAGTGGTGTGTGCGTTTATCTGTATGTGTATGGAGGAAGCCGAGATGGAGAACAAACGTGGCTGACAGTGTGGATTAGCTCCTGCTGTAAATCTGCCTCAGTCACAGATGGCAGGCCCTTGATCGCTGGGCTGTGACGGCTTGGCTCTCATCGCAGGAGGAAATCCCTGTCTGTGAGTCTAGGAGGCTGGGAAGGAGAAGGCTGGGGCAGGGGCCGCCTGGGCAGCAACCAGTCATTGTCTCCCGTTTGTGTAGACATACAGGCCCGGGTATTCAAGGGCGAAGACTGGTTTTGGGGGGGGGGGGGGGGGGTCATTTTACTTTGACTTTGCGGTTGTTTCATTCGCCACACTGAAAGCTTGTAAGTGGAACTTAAGCCCCCAGTTTAGATCAGCGTTACTTTTAATGACCAGTTTGAGAAACTGGGCAGAGGAGCTGTGTGCATTATTAAATGGAAATGAGACGAAAGGATGCATACAAATTACTGCATAATAGCCGTATCCAAAATGAGATCCATTGCTTGTTTCGCTAAAAGGGGTGCGCTTTCAGGGTCACACACCTAATAGTGAGGCCTGTCCCGACAACAGAGGCATTTTTCTTCCCTCCCCACATGGCTCCCTCTCCCCCTCTGCCTCATGCATAATTCTTGAGAGGCTCTGAAAAAGCTGAAAATGGGCTGGAACATGGAAACGTGCACTAATAAAGCAAATGGAGAAAAGTCACTCATATTTTAGGATTTGCACTTCAGCTCACATTTAGGTTTAATGACGGCAGAAAGGATGTGTTGACATCCAGTCTGTCATAAAATAATGTTACAGATATTTAATATGTATTATATTGAACCATGCCTTCAACCTATTGTCTTATCCTTTTGTTTCTACCCGCTTTCTTCGGCTTTCTTGCAACATTAACAGGGATTACTCTCCTCTGCTTTCATACTTTAGCATACCCTACTATCTGCATGTCCAGTGGCTAGGGTAAAGATGCTAAAGCCAGGTAAAATCAGAGGAGAGCCAGGCCACGCTCTTATGGCATGCAAGGGCCATAGTCTGAGATTACTCTCCCCACGGGCAAGAACAAAACAGACGGTAGCCATTTCTGGAATGTCCTCCTTTATTCATGCTTGTTAAAATGCAAAGTAAACCTTTCCAGAAACAGGATATTGTAGCCCCTAACCACCAGACCCTTTCTACATGCCACATTATAGCCAATCTGAAAGTAAGTTGTATAGACAGACACTGCTGCAATGCGCTTTTAATAAAGGCTGTTATTGCACTGGTGATGCAGAGTGGATATGAGGATGAGGACCGTGCAGGCCTGGATGAGTAGGGCCCCAGAGGGCCCAAAGCTCAGTCAGGCCTCTGTCAGTCGCCTGCCTTCTAATCCCTGTCCGAAGGGCATCGAAGCAGCATAGGAAATTGTTTGCTGTCCACAGAACGTGCCAGGAAATTCATAAATACATAACTTTTCATTTTGAAAATATTACAAAAGACTAGACGTTTATTAAAAAGCCAAAATGATGGCTTTATAGATTTTCCAGTTGTGTATCAGCATTTATATGACTCTGCTGCTCTAACCAACAAAAGCAAGTCTTTTCTTTCCCTTTGCCCTCTGCTTTCTGGACAATATTGGTATGATTCCTCTGCAGCCTCATCCT